CATCGGGCATCGACATGCTAGTGCTTGTATGGGCGACAATTAGCAGTTACATAGATCCACATGTTATGGACAACTATCAGAACGAGCTCGAGTAAAGACTCATGGGCTGCACCCACACGATTAGATCGAGTCAAAGTGGTACAGTCTAAGGAACGACACGAGGATCATTATATTTTCACTACTATACGAGGAATATTAATAATATTGTACTTAGCTCATCATCTTGTACCTAGTCTAGAATAATGACTTGGATTCAACTAATTTATATCATTAATATGCCCAAACAACAATTAGGTTGAATTATTAGTCACTAACTTGAAAATAAAAAAAATATAAGAATGAAATATGAAAATAAAGAAGATAAAAGTTTGACAAAATACACAACTCCTTCACCTCCTTGTGAAAAGATATACTCCATTACTACCTCCGTCCCGCTATATTCGTCCACTTTTGATTTTTGGAACTGTTCATTTAAGCACTTTGACTCATTAAATTCTTTCAATGTGTAAGCCTAAATATAGTCATGTGTGATCTTGTTTGATTTGTCTTAACATATAGATTATTAATATATAATTTCTATAATTTTTTAATATACAAATTACAAGATAAAATGGATTAAAGAAGTGTATTAGATAGTGTACAAAAATGAAAGTGGACAAATATAGTGGGACGGAGGGAGTATTATTTATTCACACTTTGGAATCACATTGCAAAATCTTTCATTGTCTCACAAGTACGAGTATTTCACTATTGGGCTAACTACCGGGAACATCGGCGCATGGTAGTGGGCCATCAGCGGTCAGAAAACGGTTGGGACACTGATAAGAAAGGATGGGCCCATCACATTGAGAAAGTCCAAGCCAAATTCAACGTGTGGCTAGGCCCACATTCTCCCAACTACCATTAATAACCTTACACGTGTGTGACCTCCATTTCTCAGCTTTGTTCAATGTTCCGACCCCTTCCATTTTCGGGGGGCCATTTTTCACCCCTTGTTCAATATTCATATGAGATTCATTTCAAATGAAAAAAAAAAGATTTAGATAATCTTAAAAATGTTGGAATCTATTTTTTAATTTTTTTCTATTTGCACGGTACAAAATAATAAGCTTAAAATATATTTAATTGATCACAATAATTAATAAATATATATTCTTACTTGGTCCAATCGGTCCGAACGGTTCAGTTTTAAGTATCTCGATTCGATCCGGTCGAAACCCGATTAGGTTTAGGTCCCGTCTTCAGCCCGTGATATTATTCAATTCAGTCTTCGGTCCGGTCTTTGACCGATGAACACCCCTAGTTTTTACATTTTAAAATAACTTCAAAAGTTAAACTCCGATCCGCATTATATGCTTATGTAGAGAAAAATATTTTTTAAAAAGTTAACCACTCCATCTTCCGGACAGAAACACGGTGGCGTGAACCGTACCAAACTGAAACCTAAGAAAGCAAAATTAGAGGATCGAAGATCGAACTTGAAAGGAATTGACTCGATCTGATTTTGATTGAGTTTCGGATTGGTGAGGACCGAATAATACATACCCCTACATATTTCACTAAAATCTTGAAGTCAACAAACAATAGCGGTGTGGGTTTTAGTGTGGGAATATAATACAGGCAGTATGAAAATATGAACTAATAAAATTTGGGATTGAGAAAGGGGAAGATATTTTTGAATGAAAATTATTTGGAATATTAAAAATAATAGAAAATAATAATAATAATAATAATAATAATAATAATAATAATAATTATTATTATTATTATTTACATTTTATATTTTATCGTTACCATAATTTTAAACTCTGTATCTATTATGATTAAGATTCACCATCTATTATTTATTTACACTCGTGTAATTTTTATTATTGAATTAATTAGATCAATTATTATCAAATTGTATCGTGGTATCAGAGTTAAGGTTGACCACCATAGATCATGATCTCATTGTTCTTTATCATTCTCTTTATCTCCAAAAAATTATGAGCGCGCCTCACAATCGTCGTCCCTCTCTCTCTCTCTCCTCTCTTATTACTCTGTAAAAAATTGTGTGTGTGATCGAAGAAACAGAAAGCTGCATTTGTCTATGTTTCTTTTACAGTTCAAGAGCATGAAACTCGATAAAGTATCAGGGAATAACCCACAAAGAGAGAAAACTACTCGCCCTCGTTCTAATCGCCAACATTACCCACTTAAGAAAAATCAGCAAACTTACTTTCAAGCTCATTTGTCATACAACAAAGATCTCACTCTCGACTTCTAGCAGATATATACTAACAAAACCACTTCCGCCAGCTCCATGGGAGTATACGTATTCCGGAGTGGTTAGTAATTGGAATAATATAGATAATATCAAACAAATATTATTGTTGTTGTTGTTGTTGTTTTATTATTATTATTATTACTTTTCATATTTTATTTTTATCATAATTCTTTTTTCTTTTACTCGTATAGTCGTATATGATTAAGGTTCTCTATGTATTCTTTATATATCATGTGATCTTCATCATATTCAATAAAACTGATTATTATCAAATTGTATAAAAATGAATGATTTATTCGTATGAGAATAAAATAAAGTATAATAGAGGAGTACTTCATCCGTCCCAAGAATACCTTCCCCTTTCTTTTTTTATCCTACAAAATCCTTCGTTTTTCTTTTTAAAAAATTTGCCCTTACTAATTTTTAACCTACCTATCATACATATATTTTTACTAATAATCTATTCACCACATCTTACTTTTACCCATTACATCAAAGGTATTTTTTGAAAGTCGATCCAAAAATATACATATGCTTAAATCTTTTGACAGTCAAAATGGAAACATCTTCATGGGACAGAGAAAGTATAAAAGAGGGGTCATTATTGGAGCTATTTCTTGGAGTCTTCAGTTAATTTGTGGGGGTTTGAGACAATTGATTTAGAATTGAGATTCAGCGTATCATTATCGGAGCTATTGCTTGGAGTCTTCAGTTAACACGATGCTGAAAAACTTTATTCAAATTATTTATTTATTAATTTTCAATGCTCATTTCATACGATAAAATAATAATGTTATTTTTTGTTTTCTTGTTTTTAAACTTATAAATTTTATTTTTAAATTTTTTACCTATAATCAAATAAATTAAATTAAAAAAAATCATTCAAATCTCAAAATTAGAATGAATAATTTAAACTAGGACGGAAGTATGTGACTATGGTGTATGTTTATATCTCTCCATCCACACACAACTCATGTTGAATGTTTATAAAATATAAATAAATTAAGGAGTTATTTTTTTAATTAAATACAGAGTATAATATAAGAGGATACAAATACTAACGGTAATCGATTTTTTGGTTTTTTTTTTAAAAAAAATTTACATCCGACCACAATCATATAACTATATTAGTGGCTCCAAATCTGAAGTTAAGAATCTCCAAATTTTAATTCAAATTCTAAATTTTAATTGATGATACATTAATTTACAGTTTACACTCTAGCTAGCCTCTAAATTTAAAATTAATTTCACCCCTCACCGTCTATTTCAACGTAAGGTGAAAATAAAAATAAAAAACTAACAAATTAAATGATACAAAGGCTATTGTGCTTAATCAAGAATTTTAAATTGGGCAAGTACGAACTCTATTAGCAATCAAGAGTTTACTTGTAACATTAAAAAAGGGACAAACTTTTCTCCGAGCTTTAAAAACATTGTTTAATAAAACCTTAGAACATAGAAATATTATTCAATTTGAATAATACGATTTTTAATTGAAATACAATTAAATTCACTAATTTGATTACATACACCAACATATATACTTTCAATTAGAGACCCAAACTTTTAATATATACCAAAAGTGGTGTAACTTTGAAATTTATTGAACAAAAAATCAGTTACTCTTATAATTCCACTCCAACCTGTTGAACTGAGTGACCTAAAAATACAAGCGGTCTTTTAACGAGTATAAAATGGAGTATAAGATTCAAAATGAAATTTATATACGTATTTAAAAAGAACGCCAAATTCTCAATAAAATGGTAACATGAATATGTTACTTTAACAAATTATTAAAAATAAATAAGTAAATAAAAAAAGAAAATTTTGTATTAATTTGAGACGAAATGAGTACGTATTTCACATCCACTCTTAGATTGAAAGCTCCAAAGTCCAAACAAAACATTGTCTATTATTATTATTGCCTTTAAATATATACATAATTCCATTCTCCCACATGGTTTGTTTGTACTTTACTCGTAATAATTCACTCACTTTGTTTCAATAAAATCCTTACATATGTCCCACTTGATATACGAGACTAAAATATTTTGGAAATAATTAGATTTAGCTAATAATAAATCATTAATATTCTGTTAAAAAACAAACTAATTAAGTCTTAGCAGTACTAAAGCAAAAATAAAGTGATACGGAAATGATTAACGTACTGATTTTTGTTCGTTAATTACTCATCCGTATAAATTAAGGTACTGGTTTTGTCGTAAATGATTTTGAAGTTTATTCCAAACAAATACCATCTCATTATAATTACATAAATAATAAATTCCAATTTTGATTCCAATTTTGATTACGAATTTGGCAGATTCTCAAAATTTGAGTCTATGAAGTACTCATTTCGTCCCAATTTTGATTACAAATTACTTCCTGATTCCCGTTTTAAATTGTCTGTTTTGACTTTTGGATATATTTAAAGAAGAGAAAAAATAGACTTGATTTTTCGAAATTATCATTACTTTTTAGGAGGGGTGACGATGAATGAGAAGATAAAGTGGAGAAGACTAACTTATTTTAGAAGTAGTTTAGGTATTTTACTCTTAAAAGTTTAAGATAACAAGTAACAGGCAATATATTTTGGGACAGAAAAAAGGCAAACATGCAATTTAAAATGGGACAGAGGGAGTAGGAATTATGATGTAAGCCTCAACTTTTAAAATTATTTTATTTCACAAATTGGTATATCAATTAAAACTAAAAATTACATATTTTTGAAACATACGTAAAAAAAAATTGATTTTATCAAATAATCAATGAAAACACACAAATAAACAAAAATTATCAAGAGGTAAGAAAAAAATTGTAATCAAAATTGGAACGGAAGGAGTGATTTGTATAGTTTAGATAGAGGGAGAGTTAAAAACTATGCTCCAATGGGCGGGAAGTTAAATCAAAGTAGGGTGAGACTGCGTAAATCCGACTCCCTTTACCCCGCAATAGGCACAAGCTTTGAGATGCCCAAGGATGTCTTACCATCGGTGCTAAACTCGCGGCTAAACAGAACATCCTCCTCGCCCAAGGATGTCTTACCATCGGTGCTAACCAACACCCAAGTTTCAACCACCTTGATTATTTCACCATCGCAGAATTCTACCACAGTGAAGGCCCGAGACGAACCTCCAAAGCTTGGATGCTTCACCCTTGGAACAATGGCTGCGTTCAAGTACACTGTTTTGTCACCACCAATGGCTAACATCTTCCTACAGCATCCATTTTCAAGTTGTTTATGCATGTGACCGAAGACGACCAGGGGAATGGGGTTCTTGTTGGTCTCTTTTATTAGAGATATTGCTTGAGCTAAATCTGAACCATTTTTAACATCAATTAGTAAACAGATAATGTATATCTGATCATCCATGATATCAAGTGAAGTACACAATAGAGCAACAACATAGAGTAACGGTAGACTAAGAGCTTGTTCTGAACTGATTTGGTTTATTACGGTCTGATTTGATCTTATATGGTCCCTTATTTATCGGAGAATTGAAAAGAACAAGCTCTAACTCCATTATTTATGGGAGAATTACCTCGATCCCCATGGTCTCCGCCCTCATTGTCCCAATCTTTGCCACATATGTCATCTTGATTAGAACCAAGACCTGGACAATTAAGAGTATAAGAAATAAATATGCCCTACTCCATTTCTTTAAGGTAGCAAGCTTAATACAGAAAGCATGTACGAACCTGCTGGAACTACAATTGAATGCTCCTCGGGTATATCTAAAGCTGCCTGATGTATTTTCTGGGCACTTTCTTCCATGTTATGAACTCCATATCTGATACAAAATGATGAACAAAGTGTCACTTGTTGCTGAAAATATGTATACAAATTGAAGCTTTCATTTGATACAGACCGACCTTTTGGTCAAAAGCTTTTTCCTGAATAGTTGATCACCGCCACAAGAAAAAGGCCTCCCGCCCACAACACTAAGCTTAAATGCAGGAAAGTGGAGGCGATTGTAGCCAACGTGTTGTTCACCAAAGCTTTCAAGCTGAAGCTGAACTCCATCTTTGACCTTTGATGTGAACTTAGAAGTAGACCAGGAATCGTGATTTCCAAGAATTGCCGCTTTGGGAATGTCAACCCCAGCAGCGATTCCCCGTACGAGCTCCACGTTCTCGTTGCCAAAGTCACCTGTAAACAGCACTATATCTGGGTTCAAACACCTGAGTGCTTTCAGGTCATGCTCGTGTTCCCAATAGTCGTGGATGTCTCCAACTACAACGATTCGAAAGGACATCGTAAAGGACAAAAATATTCCAAGATGATTACTAGGGCAGCACCTCCTGCTATAGGGACAATTCCACGGCTTAAGAATACAAACATATAAATAATCTAGGTTTTAACTTTCCTAATACAATAACATTATTTACATGACATTAGGTGATCTATGTATATCATTGAAACTGAACCAGAAACGAAAGTGACACTCCTGCAAAATTAAATTATTTATAATAAAAAGAAAGGATTAAACTCCTACAAACCCAAATTAACAGTAAGAGATCAAAAAACCCAAATTAGTTTTGTTTGGAGGGAATGATTAGAGAAAAAACAATTAATAGGTTCATGGAAACAATTGCATATTGACCAAAACAACAATCAAGTGTACAGCAAACATGTAGGCAAATCATAAACTAACCGCCAAAACAATTAATTTTACAAGAAATCACTCAAGCAGAGTACTTTCGAAAAAATATAACAGAGTCCAACAAAAGTAAAAATAAATAAATAAATAAATAACGGTTCATAGAAAAAGATGCCGAGTGCTAAATCTGATTAAAGAAATACTGAAAGAATTTGAACTCCATACTTGCAGCAAATTAGATTCCCCAATAAACCCTAGTTTTTCAACTTCCAAATCGTAGCTTGTATTGAGATGAAATTACGCGCCAAGTAATACCTTCCCGCTGGATTCTGGAGTGATATAAGAGGAAAATTTCACCAATTGAACGCTGGGTGGAGACGTGGAGGAGCCTGTTGCGTTTGACGGCGTTTAGGGCAATGAAAATAGCGGATAGAAGGGAAACTAACCATGTTCTCTCCTCCTCTTAGAGTAAGAAGCTGAAGTGTGTTGCTTTTAATCATTTAGCTTCTTCTTTGAGTAGAAGTGAATTTATTCTGTTTGGCATGTCAGCTTCTACTTTTAAACACCACTATTTTGTATATAGAACACCGTTTCGGAGAAGCAGGTAGGAGGTGCTTCTGCTTTCAGCTCTTGTGGAAATCATTTTATCCATACGTTAATCACTCCCAAACACCCTCTAATAATTGTGGTATTTATCTCTTTTTATTAGAAATCAGAGAGGTAAATAATGAGACATTATACTTTCTTCAATTTTGAAAATGTATCTTTACCTTCTCCATTTAGGAAGGTATATCAACTTTTTCCATCTTTAAAATTTCTGTCAGTTACTTTAGTTATTGTATTTTTTTTTTTGTATTTTTGCTTGAATGTATATTATTATAAATTGTTAATTTGTACAATATCCTTGTAATGGTAAAACCTAACGAGTCAAGAATTTACAAAAAGAAGATGCTTTGTTTTTTTAATTTTGTACTCTGTATTTTTTAGTTTTTTCTACTCGGATATTTATAATTTCACATGTGCAATTGGATATAATTTATATTTAATTATTTGACAACTGGCTTTTTTTCTAATAAATTAGTTGGATTTTTATGAAATCTTTAAATTAAAAATATTAATCAAGAAAAAACAAAGGCAACAAACCTCAAATTTACCTCCCCATGACTTTTTTAAGAAGGTATATTTTCTTTTCTAATAATTGAAATTTGATTTAAGAAAGTAAATCAACTAATTTTTTCCCATTAATGTATGCATATGGATTTTTTCTCTCTTTTGCCTTTTGATTTACCTTCCTCATTGGAGTTGCACACTTTTTGGGAAGGTAAACTTGATTACTTGGAGAGGTAAATGAGATGTAAACCTTTCTAAAATACCTCCTACCCTTAGAGTTGCTCTTAGGAGTGGGAGAGAAATTAATTTTCGAAATCACGAGACTGAAACGTAAAAAAGTACTAAAATGAGACTTCTATGTTTTTAATTTTGAAATCGGAGTTTACACTATGGTAATGAGAAGGTAATGTGACATTGTATATGTGCATATTTGTATACTTTTTAGTAATGTACATGACCATGTTTGATAATGTAAATGAATTTTAAGTACTATTTCGGAAATAAAAACATGAAAAATCTTATTTTGGCATATTTTCAATGTTTACTCCTACTTTAGTCTTTTTCCCAATTACTTTTCATTATTTTTAACCTTTTCTCGTTCTTTTTAATTTTTTCAGTTTTTCTAATAATCATTTAAAAATGTATTTATATATAATGAATATACAATAACATTGTGCTATATCCAAATTTATAATATACCTCCTTAAATACGAACAAGAATGAATTATTTTTTTTCCAAAATTAGAATTTTCTTACATATTTTTTTCGAAGATCAACTTTGAAATTATATTCCATAAGAACAAAGCCTAAAAATAGGGGGGATTAGTGTTGGGGTCTCAAAAAGCTGTTCCCAAAAAGGCATCTCATGATCATCTAGCCCGACTAGAAACTCACCTAAGTTTAGCATTAAAAATTTCAAAGTACATATAACCATCTCGGACCATATGTTTGGTTCAAGGAAATTTGAAAAAAGAGAAAAAAAACTCTATTTTCATTTAAATGGAAGGAGTTCAATTATTTTAGCTAATTTTATTTTCTCATAAAAAGTCACTTCTCATTTGATTTTTTTTCTTTTCCTTCTCAAACTCCTTGAACCAAAATTACCAAACATAGTGTCCCAATCCTAGACTTTTGTACTTGTCCCGATCATAGATGATAGAATTTGGGATGAGGTATGGACAACAGGATTGGGTAATAAAACACTTGGGTCGAATCACATTAAAAGATTGAATCCAATCGATTGGTTAGTTTAACTCAAGAACTTATATACCGATTATTTTTCTCACACTTTTCCGATGTAGGATACTCTTAACACTCCCCCTCAAGTGGACAACCAGGCCATTTTGAATCTAACCGGTTGACCACTTGCAAATGAACTCTCATTCCCTTGATTTTTTTTGAGCGCCAACACCTAAAGGACCACGAGCCGCTAGGTATGGACTTCCAGACGAGCAATCGTGTTAAACGGGCCACAGGTCGTTGGATACAAACTCCACACGGACAACTGGGCTAAAGACAAACGGGCCGCTAGGAATGTACGTCTAGACGGACACCTTGACAAACGAGGTGGGCCAAAACCTACTCTGATACCATGATAGAATTTGAGATGGGGTATGGACAACATGATTGGGTAATAAGACATTTGGGTCGAATCACATTAAAAGATTAAATCCAATCAATTAGTTAGTTTAACTCAAGAACTTATATACCGATTATTTTTTTCACACTTTTCCGATGTGGGATACTCTTAACAATAGACCGTACCCATTTTTTTAGAAAAGATTTGAAACGGTCTAGATTCGACATTGTCCTACATGTCCCATTTATTTCAAGATCGAGACAATTCAAAACGTTTGGGTCGTCTGAATCCAATTTTTTATCAACTATAAACCTAAAAAATTTTACTTTCGTAACCCGTAAAAACAATTCAAAAGTTTTATATAAACATTTTTAATAGGTTCCTAAATATAGTGAAATAAAAATATAAACAAGCATTTGAAAGTGTTCTCTAACATTTTGGTTTACCAATCTTATGAGATTTTATAAAATGTATTTTGGCTTCCATACATTCGTACAAGAAAAGCCTTTGCGTCCCACAATTTTTTACCTCAAATTTTGGTTAACTTTTTGTATATTTGCGTGTTTTTTTATTATTTGATTAACTAAAATGTTCATCTCACTTCTTATTTTATAAAATTTTTAATTAGTCTGTTAATATGTAAGCCTTATTTTTTGTATTTATACACATTTTAAAATAAAATAATTTTAAAACAATGAGATTTTACTTTGTAAATCCAAATTTATGATCTATTTTGAGACGAAAGGAGCTTGCTTAACATTAAAAAGTTTTTATCTCAAAATACCACGGATCTATATATGTACTAACTAAAATATTCTTCATATGCTTCACATTAAAAAGTTTTTTAACTCAAAATGCCACCGATCTTCTTACTCTCTAATCCTCCCCGGTAAACCCTCCCACCTTGGCCCGCCCCAAACCTATCCCTCAACCCCTTCAATTTTATTCCCCAAATTTGTTTGACTTTTGGGTCAACATATTCTGTTAATTTTACTGGAACCATATATATATATATATATATATATATATATATATATATATATATATATATATATATATATATATATATATATATATATATATATATATATATATATATATATATATATATATATATATATAGGTTCAGGTGAGAATGCAATCTAATGAAAGAAATAAGAATGAATCTGATGCATTAGATTGAGAGATCTAAGAGTTAGGATTGCATCAAAATTAGGTGCACCAAGATGATTTGAAAATGCATCATGTCGAAATGCACCATAATCCTTTGAAAATGCACTATCTCAAAGTTTGAGTGCAGAATGCAATCTGAGCCGCACGATGCATCAGATCCAAAGGCCGGATTTTATTCTTATTTCTTTCATCAAGGTGCATTCTCACTTGAACCAGCCCATATATATATATATATATATATATATATATATATATATATATATATATATATATATATATATATATATATAAGGGCAATTTTGCTAATTAATGAAGAAGTGTCACATCCATACGGATTTAGGCTACAAATAGAGTTTGATAAATACTCACTCCGTCCTACTGTGTTTGTCCACTTACCTTCTGGCACACTATCCAATGCACTTTTTTAATCTATTTTATTTGTAATTTGTATATTAAAAAATTATCCAAATTATATATTAATAATCTATATGTTAAGACGAATCAAACAAGATCACACATGACTAATTTTAGGCTTACACATTAAGAGAATTTGATGAGTCAAAGTACTTAGATGAACAGTTCCAAAAATCAAATGTGGATAAAGATAATGAGACGGAGGTGTATATTCTCTTCCTAATTGCACAATAAAAAAAGTCAAGAAACCCCATTTTAATTCCGATTTGTTCCCAGATTTTGTTAACCTCTTTTTGAGTGTGTCCATTTTAGGTTTTCATATGATGTGATTGGAGTAGGTCATAAACCTTTGACATAATTGCACTCTTTTTTGTTTGGTTACTTACTTTATCACTAAAGAAATGATAATAACACGAAGGACCATGCTACATTTACACCAAAATTTGTATCCCATTTGTACACCGCAGTTATACACAAACATTTTGATGGTTTACACCGACACAAGTGTTGGTGCGTTAACAAAAATTTACACAGACACAAAGTGTGTTGGTGCGTTAATAAAAATTAGTTTTACACCGACACAAAATGTCGGTGCAAACCTGCGGTGTACAAATGGGGTACACAAATTTGGGGTACAAGTAGCTTTATCCTAACATGAATAAGGACACAATTTAATATATGAAATTGCATTAGAGATAATTAAAAATGCAAGACTAGAATATTGATTATTAAATAAATGTGATATGTCAATGAATACGACTTAAACAAAAAAAGTTAGCTATTTTATAAGGAATAAAACATATTTAAGTTCGCTTTTAAAACAAAATATTGATACTATAGCAGAAAGGTGACACACCGTCATGGGTCGGATTTGGGCCGCTATGGGCTGCTAAAACAGCCCTTTAAACACATTATTACTTATTTCAACAAACACATTTTTTTTAAAAAAAGAAATATAATGGATATCTCTTAGGAAATGGCCATATCCCTTCTGGGACTTGACTGACCAATTTGAATAGCCCATGTCATTTGGGCCTACTTTATTTTTCTAGAATTCAGGCCTTAGCCCATGATTCATAACATGTCATCATTCATTCATGACAGGAAATTACTCCCCAAGTTCAGATTATTTATGCACCCGTACTCTTTTTTTTCATCTTGGACTCCTTTGCTAATATCTTCCTTAAAATTCTTTTTGTGGTCTAAGGGACTGTTTGGCAACTTCTGAATAGGTAAGTGTTGAACCAGTAAGATGTCTGAACCATTAAATGCTGA